CTAGCAGTTCCCAACGAATAAGCTTGCATCTTTTCTGTTCGTACATGCGCTTCGAGTGGACGCCGAGGGTACAGTGGTTGACACGCAAAATTATAAGCGCTTCGGGTTGACACGCATAAACTTGACATGTCAACACTATACGGACACGATCAAAGATTGTAGAAAGCTCCAAGGGCGGTTAGGCAGCTCCGAAATTGTGGTCTACAGTGTGCATCCCAGTTCATGTGTTGCTGTACAGTTCAGTTGCTGGCATGATGTGTGAACAGACAAAACATTTGCACGTTCAAATTTTGGACAACATCCCTGGCAAGTCTGGTCTGGTCTCATCTGGACTTTGATGGTCCCGCCCCTGACTGAACCGCGCTTGTGGGGCATGCTTGCACAGAATCTATCGAAGGGGGCACGAACTGCACGTGTCTTGCTTGCACAGCTGCTCAATTGTTAGAGGTGTTGCGTGTGTGCTTGAGCTGGCTGGATTCACCGTCCCATCCCATTTGTCGAAGATCAACCCAAGCACATGTGGCCCGATAATCTACAGCATTTTGCTTGTAGCACAATCACTGTGAAAGCTACAACGCAAATTGCGAAGGTTCTTAGTATTCTTCGAGGTACAGTCGGTAATTATTGCATTCTCAAGGTTCCCCACAAGTTTGCCGTTTTCCAACTGCATTTGATAGGGGAACCTGTTTTGGTGCTCGGTGGATGTGATTGTCGGTTCTGCAAGTGAATGTTCCGTTAGAAGCTCCATTGCCCTGAAAGAAACAGTAACGGGTACTAAAGAAATTGACAAACTGACTGACATTTCTGGTTTCAGTGCACCATTACACAACCGGCTAATGAACAGAGTGAGGGCGGGTCCAGCGCGTACATTTACAGCAGGCCCTCAGAAGTCAGCTAAAAAAGGCTGATTAGGGGTAAAAAGGCTGTGATTTCAGTGGTGGGAGAATAGTGGGGCTGTTGTGGCAGCTTTTTTTTTAGTGTGTTTGCTGAAAGTTCAGGGTTTTTTAAACTGTCTGTGCTGAAATATCAGCTTTTTTCCTGTCCTGTACGCTGTCTCATCAGAGTTGTAACGAAGGGGTTGGCTGAAATCCCTGTAATGGAGATTCACTTAGGTGCCCTGAATTCCGGATGTCTAGGTACACCTGTTCGACCATCCCTCCGTCAATCACTCCGAAATGGCAAGATTCCTTGCCAACGCATTCGGGAATCCTCCTCGCCATCGCTGCCGCACGAAACCTACCACTCCGCCAGATTGATGTAAGGAATGCGTTCCTGTACGCGTTAGTAGATGCAGTGATCTACGTGGAGCAGCCGCACACATACGGCGACGGGGACCCACGTGTCTGTCAGCTGAGAAAGTCCCTGTACGGGATCAAGCAAGCGCCGAGGCTCTGGCAGCAGTACCTGCACAACATATTGCTTGAAATCGGCTTCAAGCAGCTGCCTCACGATCCTGGGATGTATCGCCGCGATTTCCGCGGCGAATACATCATACTCATGGTCTACGTTGACGACCTCCTCTACACAGGGTCAAGCAACGAATTGCTTGAGCAATTTGAGAAAAACCTCGCAGGGCGCGTCGACATCACCTGCAACCATGACGTAAAGCAGTTTCTCGGGCTCAACATCACCTACTCGCCGGAAGGCATTCATCTTTCAGCAGCCAAGTACGCGGAGGAGCTCAGCAAGCGCTTTAACATTACGCCTGCACCACTCTCCACCCCTTACCGCACCCCAAGACCCAACCACAAACCTGAAAACAAAGCCCTATCCCCTGCTGGAGTTCAGACTTACGAGCAGCAGCTGGGATGCCTGCTCTTTGCCTCTGTCACATGCAGGCCTGACCTCTCCTACATCGCAAGTCAGCTGGCCCAGTACTTACGCAAACCAACGGCTGAGAATCTTCTGGACCTGCAGCGCGCCCTACAGTTCTTCGTTTCAACGCCCAAGATTGGGCTGTGTTACTCAACTGCACCAACCCCATCCTTCAACCTCATCAGCTACGTGGACGCCGATCACGCAGCACATCCCAACAATCGACGGTCCAGGACTGGCTTCCTGTTCCGGCTCAAACCAACGGGACCAATCTCCTGGAACTCGCAGAAGCAGGAGTTGGTTGCCCTGTCGTAAGCCGAAGTGGAATTCATCGCAGCAACTGCAGCAGTTCGTGAAGGCCTCTACTTGCAGGAACTTCTGCAGGAGGCGAAAATTCCAGCTTCGCCCACCTTTCGTCTCCACTGCGACAACCAGAGCGCGATTCGCATCGCGAACAATCCTGGTTTCGTCAACCGCACCAAGCACATTGCGCTGCAGTATTTCTTCGTGAAGGACGAAGTGGACAAGGGCAAGGTTGACTTGACCTACTGCCCGACTGGTGACATGGCAGCAGACTTTCTCACGAAGCGACTGCCACGGCAGCAGTATCAACACTGCTCCGAACTCAGCGGAGTGGTCAAGCAGGTCAAGTCGAGCTGCGACCAGGAGTGAAGGGGGGTGTTAC